AAATAGTCCTGGCAGTTAAGAAGGAGCAAGGGCCAGGAATACGGATTATTTGTGTTAGAAACTGGCTTAGTGAGAAACAGTAGCCTCAGTGGCAAATGTTTTATTGAACCAAATGCTGCACATTGAATAGCAATTGTTAACCAATCCTTCATGCAGAGATGAACTGCATAGTTCTGTTATTATTTGAAATGGATATTTATCTTCTGCTTAGTGCAAATTTAAAACTCTTGCAGGCTATATTGTATGCATTGTTTTTATATATTTATTTTGATTATACATTCTCTTACCTGCATATATATATATATATATACTAATCACACTTCAACAGAAGTGTTTATTCAAAGAAGTTGCATTACATATTTATTTTTCCTAAATAAAACTTGATCATAACTTTCAACGCTCAATAACGTGAATAAAAATTAAGTATAGGAAATATATGTCGTCCTGTGCTCATATGATTATTTAATGAATTTAAAAGTTGTTTATTTATTTTGTCAGTAGGATGTCTGATTAAAATGGGATTAATTGCAATTGGGCGGCTCATTGATGCAGCGGGTAGCACTGCTGCCTTGCAGCAAGAAGTTTACAGGTTCGATTTCTGGCCCAGGGTCTTTCTGCATGAAGTTTGCATGTTTTCCCTGGGCATGCATGGGTTCTCTCCGGGTACTCTGTCTTCCTCCTGCAGTCAAAAACATGACTGTTAAGCTGATTGGCTTCTCTAAATTCTCCTTAGGTGTGAGTGTGTGCGTGAATGGTTGTTTGTCCTGTTTGTCTCTGTGTTGCCTTCCAATGGACTGGCGACCTGTCTAGGGTGCACCTTGCCTCATAATTACATAACTAATGTAATTGAGTGGTGTAAATTTAAACAATGCCGTACTGCGTAGCTGCCTCAGAGTTTTCATGAGCTGCTATACTTGTGATCTACTGTTTACTATATTAGCTAGAGCTAAAACTGTTAGTGAAAGCTAAAAGTGAAATCAAAGTCAAATCGGAATTTAATGACCAACTGCTTATGGTGAAAGTGAAGCATCTTTTTGTTTCATAACATAGGGTGACCAAACGTCCGTATTTCCCGAGACATATCCGTATTTCCCGTTCCGGGTTTTTTTTAGAAAGTGAGGAAATGTCCTGATTTTTTAAATGACCTTAACTGGACCATTAAATTTACAGACGCTAGGGCACTGCGCACGACGATGCGTGTGACGTAATCCCTGAGCCGCGTCAGTGCGGGCAGCCCTGTCCTTAATAGATAATAGATAGAATATAGATTGCGTGGCTGTCAGTACGCCAACAACATGCAAAAGCGCAAATGTTTGTTTACCGACGATTTACAAAAGAGCTTCCCAGCTTTCGGACCAGGTCGAGACAAATGGGAGGCCTTGTGCACATATGTCTCTGTGTACAATGGAGGTGTAAGGGATCTGAAAAGCCACCTGGACACGGAAAGTAAAGATAGTCTATTGATATGTTTGTTCGTTTTTGGTACATTTTGAATAATTTTTGCTACACAAGAGGTATTTTTTGTTAATTAGCTCATTTGTTAATTTATTTTTTTAAATAGCCTACAGAACAGACATTATTTCGTTGATTGCTGAGGCTGAGTATCATCTGTTATTGGGAGTTGAGAGTTATTGTTAACTTTTATTGTTAAGTGAGGGATGTTTAGATGAGACATTGTTTCTTTCATTGTGCTATTCATTCATCACAGGAATTGTTAAGCATTATTAATAGATACATTTTGAATAAAATTATCGTTTGTTATTGCAGTTATTGCTGTTGACTTTTACTGAAAAGCATTTTTTAATAAATCAACTGTAAATATCATGTTAGTGAGTGCATGCCACAGACATCTCTATGCATGGGATCAGAGATCCCAATCCCCCCCTTGCTCCAAGGTGTCCTGGTCACCCTACATAACACATATTCTAATATATCTGAGAAAATTTGTTGATTCCGATGCTAACCATGAGCAGCTTTATTTAGAAACTGAAGCCCTCTTTAGCATAGCTCTACATCTTAGTTAGCATCTCGTCCAACACGGCCCTCTTCCTCCTTTTGGTCCTCCTCATCGTTGTTACCTCGGGTGATTACTATATTGCCATCAAACTGCTTTGGTTCCCATTGAAAAGCTTTAACATTTGTCAGTGCTGTTTTAGTAGGATGGAACTAGATCTAGCATATATCATAATTTACCCAGAATACATTGTAATGTAAACAACATCGCAAAGTCATTGTGACAATATTTTCTATAAATTTCTAAAAAATTTGACACCTTACAGTATGTCTACTATATTGTTTTTTATATATATATATAAATAATATTTATCAACAAAAATCTATTGTTTTAACTAATTTAAGTTAATTAACATATTTAAAACTGGATAATTGCACACTAAAACAGCATTTAATAGTTTTTAAAACAAAATAAATTTTTTAACCTGCACGAAAATTAAACATAGTAACATAAACTAGATGCTTTTTTTATATACTCTTCTTCATGTAGTTTTACATGGTTGCGGCTGTGGCAACAGAGTTCTGTAGTGAGCCTGTTTCTGCTTGATGTTTTTTTCCTTCTAAAAGGGAGATTTTCCTCTACTGTGTCTCTGAATGCATGCTAGTGTCAGCACATGCTCATCCAGGAGGAACGAATCCTGCAGTTAATGACTTGATGATGCTGGGTTAATCTGACTGTATGATCTGATAGAATTGTCTCTGTAAAGTGTCTTAAGATGACGTGTTGTCAATTGAGGCTATAAATACACTGACTTGAATTGTGGTCAGTATTGATGCTGTAAAACTGACAAAGACTCTGTATGAAGACAGATTTTTTTATGAGCATGTGGTGAAGAGGAGGCTAAAGGTTGTTCATAATGTTCTTCCTTTTATGAAGAACTCTTCTTTGTATCATCATAAATGCTCCAGAAAAGTCCCCAGACTGGCCAGCCTTTATTTTCTCATTCTTTAATTCCTTTTTTCTGATACTGCAAAACAAATAGGTGATGGCAGAAGAGATTGCACTCTTCCCAGCAGATTTACAGTATGGAATATAGTGGTGGGAGAAGAAAAGATCAATTCACAAATATAAAGGAAAACTTCCACAGTGTTTAACTTTAAAAGTTAAACTCTGTTGTCCTCAATCACAGCTTTTTATTAAATGTTGCACATTTTTAATAATCCCATATCCTTTATGTGCCTACCATGGACTGCTGAACAGACTTACGAAAGTATATATAACATATCCAAAAACAAAATCATGGTAAGTGATCTAATTTTATGAATTACTAAGTATCAACAACTCTAAACTTCAGACCCCAAAGCACTTTAATGTTTGGCAACCCCATGTTACTATAAGATATATAAGTAGGAGCAGATAATCAGTATAAGTAGGCCTTTGTTTTTTAAAAAGAGTCATTTTCCTTATTCTAACACTGACTTGTAGTGATCTCTATAATACTCTTCCCTTAAGCTAAAAAAGTCTTTAGTTGCGTGCAAATATGCTCCACTGCACCTGAAAAGTGTGCTTCTCTTCCCAGATATACAGCTGATTACACAAAGGCAATGTGGTACAGTTTGAAGGTTTCTTCATGCACCCAGGGATCTGTTCTGTGCTAATAAAATCTCCTCATTCAGATTTTATTTGTTTTTTCTTGGATCTTGGAACATAATTCCCCACAAACAGTGTTCCACATATGACAGTAACATCCTTTCCTCTATGTGGGTGTGCATGTTTTACTTTATAGAATCGCCTCCATATAATAACTTGGTAAGTGGCCTATTAAGATCTGATTAAAATTAGTTATGCTTTCATACAAAGCACAATTTCATATAAAAATGACCCAGAGCAAAATGAACATTAAGTTCAGTTTATAATGCTATAAAAGCATTCAATTATTTAGAAATATTTCTTTGTTACATTTTATGGAGTGAAGAAATACAGTAATCATTGTATGCCAACTTGATAAAAACATGACAACCCTGGATATTTTACAAACTAAGGTAGAAAAGTATTACTATTTTAAATAAGGTTAGATTAAGGATTAGTATAACAAGTAATGTGGCGATAGTTTGGAGATACCAACTCGTTATCTTGTCATCAGGGCCAGTAAAACAGTAACGAACAAACATTCATAAAAATAGCATGGAAAATATATCACTAGCATATTTGGCAGTTGACTTTAGATGTTTAGTATCAATCACAAAAAGATAACGCATAATTCAAGAGAAATAAGTTGAGTTGAAAAAAGTGTCCATTAAATTACAATCAGGATTGTGTCATACATGAAGTATTTTCCAATGCTTGCCAATTTACATCATGCTGCAGGGAACTGCAGTATTTGTTTTTGCCAAAAAAAAAAAAGAAAACAAAAAATTTGTTCCATTTCCGTTTCTCCTGCTCACAATTTAATGAGAATTTGAGTATTAATATTTACATAGTTGAGGTTTTATTAACTTAATGGTCTGTAGTAAAACCCTTTTGGTGGAAAATGTTGAAATCTGCAGTAATTCCCAGCAGGTTTCCTTCAAAGTCTACAACACTGGAGGAAGTAAAGCCTGGACCAAAACTGAAAAGTCTGCATTTCAGTTGAGACTGAAGGGATTAGTTCATTCTATCCTGCCTACTACAGAGATAAAATTGGGTATTTCAAAATAAGTCCTGAGACTGCAGAGTGTGAGAAAAGAAATAACGATTGAAAAATGGACAGGAGATAGAACTTTTTGAGGGGCTCACAAGCAGCATCTAGCAGTTGAGTCCAAGACAATAATCATAATGTGGGAAACTGAGCATCCAGCCAGATGACGCCAAAAAAGCTAAAGCAGGTGTTAGACTGCAGACGTTCGTTTGACTCGGTGTTAGATTAACACAAAAAGAAATCCAAAAGGGTAAGATTTACCAAACACCTTATTGCAAAGGTAAGGTGCAGGTAAATGACAGATGCTATGATGCAGTGACAACATGTTCAACAAAGCCCTCGTGTGCAATACCACTGTTATATACTAACCAGTTTCAGACAGGAGTTTGATGGACTCCAGGACACGCTCAGTGTAGACCCCAGGTTCGTAGTTTTCCATCTCAGCATTAATGATGTGGACCACGCGGGCAGCTCTTCCACGAATGGCTCCAGCAGTTCGATCAAGAGTGTCCACATCTCCCTCTTGCAGGGCAATTACACATTTGTTAACGTCCTCAAGGATGTGGTTCTCTGGAGAAAAAGGACAAAATCCAAGCCTTATTTTTTCTCCCTAGAAAACCCCTAATCTATCTGGAGTTAGAATTTTTCTCAGTTAAACCAATTTTTCTGTTTATGCAATATGTTTGTAAAAGAATGTTTGTAGATTATCACATCTCTCCATTGAGTAAATGTAGAAATTTTTTTTTTGAATATAATGCCTTTTACACCTTTTACACTATTGCTACTCACTGTGTTGAAGATGTAACAAGAAATGCTGCCTCAAGGAAAATAATATGCATGTAATACTGAGACATATGCAATTCTTCTCTGGTTTTGCTAGGCTGCTATGTGTTTTGAGAGAAATGTCATAAAACTCCAAGCGCAAGAAGCTACGCGATGCAATCCATATCATATATTTAAATCACAACTACTTCATTTTATGAGTGCTACTTAAATAGTGTGGCAACAACTAATTTATGGTATCACTTCCTCTCATTTCACCACATACAGGACCTCTGTCAGCACCACGATTACTCCCTCATTTTGGCGTGCCAAATGGTTGGGGGTTATAACTAGAGGCAGCCCGACATACTTTTGATTAAGCTAACAAATATTTCAATTGTTAGGTTAAAAAGTTAGGTTTCATGTTCTCAAGCTGCAGACATAAATTGTTTTAAAGCTGTAAGGTTGTACAAAGCATCAAATAGTGGCATTTATGTTGTGCATTTTTTTTTCGTGCAGTTAAAGTGAAAAGTTATGACAATGATGTCTCAACAAAAGTAATAAACACCATTCTGTAATAGAGAAGGACTGTCCATCCCAACACAGATTTAACTAGATGTTCTACAAAATTATCTACATTAAGATGAAAGTTAACAAATATGAAAGAGTTGTATGCCTGTTTTTCCTAATTTCCAAGGTTTGACATTCTTAGGCATTTTCTCTTTCTAAATAAACTCCCTGATATAGCCTACCCTAGAATTAATACTTCCTGCTCTTTACCTGACACAGAAAGGAAGTCATCCACAGATGTGATGTCGTCCACTGCCTCAGTCAGAATACGAACTTGCTTCTCCCACTGATCCTTGAACACGTCCATATTGTCCTGGGCCACCTTGCTTTGAGGCCGAGCAGCCAGAGTGAGAGCGGCATTTATAACCTGGAAAACAGGCAGAACTTGATGTATTCTTAGTGCAATTGGCATTCATACATGTGAATAAAATAGCTCAGTTTATGTTTAGTTGGTAGTAATTTTGGTTTTGGATATTTTTCACTAATTATCATACACTGTATGTGTTTTTTATAACTGAACAAATAAAATGAAGATTAATTCTGTATTATTCAACTCGCATCTGAGAGTCCACAGACCATAATTTTCTGAAAAGACAAACAAACAGTACTCTTAAAAGTTTGTCATATTTGACCTATGAGGAGATTGGATATATACATCAAAAACGACTGCTATGTAACAGTACATTGTGCAATCACTTTTAAATTTAATCCCTAAATGTACCAATACTATTTTCCTGTGTGCAGTGAGTGACTGGGACTTCTACTTGCATCACTAATCCTGCAAAAATGCCTGAAATATTTTCAGATGACAAAGTCTTTTTACTTAGATACTCTACACCTATGCATAGATATATGCAGATAACATTCTGGCGCCTCATTTTTTAGACTGCATTCAATGATTTTAATACTTCAACCACATTTACTCGTGTCAGCACCTGATATAAGTCATTTAGAACTACAGTGTAAAAGAGTTACATGAAATTAACAAAACCGAGAAAACAAAATGCCAAAAAAAAGAAAAAAACTTACTGGAAATCTTGACTGGGTGTTAGTTTGCTGAGTGTAGCCAGTTGAGCCGCACACGAATGTCATGTTTACATGGTTCTTCAGCCAATCAGAGACGTCTCAACTGGAATTTTTTTTATCACTTTCAAGGGATCAAAATTAGAAGTGCAAAGGCAAACTAGAAAAGATATCATATAGAAGTGTCTTTGGGTAGTGGGTGTGTTAAATTAATTAAAGAAAGAATCTCCCTGGTTATTTAATGTGTTTTATCAGTGTTATTTGATGTCTTTATCACATCCAAAGAAAAGGTAAGTGTAATATCGAAACATTGACCTTATTTGCACAACATGATGACATCCATAAGAGGTCATTAACCAATAAAAAATATACAGTAGATCATGATCTTAACATCTCAACATTGACACTTTATATCTGTTATCATGTTAGACATGGCTAGTCCATTAAACATCTTATGTTTAGTGGGATCAGCATTCATGTCAATTCAAAGTTTTTAGCCTCTAGGGAGGATTGACTTAAACGTGTTATAGATCGGTTTATTTAATTAATACTGGTTGATATTGAACTACAAAGGCATTGCAGGAGGGTTGGTTTCGTTCAGGCTTCATTTAGTAGCTGCACTCATTGTCGCCATCTGGCTTTCTGACAGTTCTGGGGGAGTAATTGTCTTTTTATGTCTGCTTATTGTGTCCAGCGCTTAAATTCTATTTAGGCTCTGAAAGGTCTGAATGGACGCTTGATATATATAATCCTAATTTATCATGAGCAAATAGTTTTTTGGTCTTTTTTGTATATGCATATGAAGTGGCTGTGCCCCTTTAAGTATAGAAACAAAATTGTTAAAGTTATATCTACATGACTTGTAAGTTACAGGGGAAGGCAAAGACAGGTCAACCATCTGACTAATCCCAAAGTGAGTTTAGGAAATTATCCAGTATAATTATGTTTCAGAATATTGAACAGGTTATAATACATTTTTTGCACAAAAAGACTTTAAGCCTCACCATGTAACATTTATATATTCAACTGTATTTTTTTTTCTATAATGGAAGCTGTCTTTCTTAATCTTTCTAAACCTGTCTGAAAATAGCAGGGAATGACAGTATAGATGACAGCATCAAATATTCATGGAATATTTACTGGGGACAGTTTTCAGCGCTAGTGTAATATATAGTCAACATTCTGGGTAATATTCCAAGTTTCTTTAGTGCATTTATAAAGACTGCATCAGGTAAAGTTTATATAGTTTTTGGTCTCTTTAATTTTATTTGTTTATAGGAAAACCAACATCAACTGGTAGAAACTGTCAGGTTTTATAGGTATAGTAAAGTATATGGTTAAACAACATAATGACTTTGGGAATAATCATCCTTATTTAATTGATATAGGGGCAGCAAGAAAACAGCTTTTTTTCTGAAATTAGGTTAAAGTTATGTTATTAAATTTTAAATGCAGTGATTTTCCCATTTTACTTTCACATGCCATAAACATTTGAATTGAAAATTGAATAAAAGTGTAGCAAATGAAATGTTTAGACTAAAAGGTTCTTAGTGCAGATAATATGATTATCAATACACAACAATGATAACTTCATATAAGAAGCTAATGCCCCTACAATTTCACCTGATGCAACACAGGGATGTTAACACACAGTGTTAAATAAAATAAAATAATTAAAAAGAAAACATTTGCCTGATGGTATTTTTCCCTATTGTTGTTTACACTGTTTTCTCACAAAGACAACTTTTTAGTTCAAACTGTTACTACATTGCTATTTATAATTAGAATTTCAATTTGTAGGAATTTAGATATACAATCAATCATTAAAATATAAAACAGGTAAATAAGTCTAATGTTGCATTTTTGAGCGAAGAAGACATTTCAGGCTGTGCAATGTTACCAAAACTGTTCTAACATCAATCCCCACCTAAAAATCCTGATGTATCAAAGTGCTTTTTTAAAAATTGGTTGTGAGTTCAGTGTGTCTGCTGCCTCTGCACTCGTCATTTAGTAGTTTTGATGATGCTCAGTTTTCTTCAGCACAGTTTAAGTTGCTATTAAATGGTGAATAAGCTCCTAATGTCTTTAGTTGCACTTATGTTTATTACTCAGTGTGGAAATCATGTACGCCACCATTTTATGTATGTTGTTGTAATATTTACATTCATTGTTCTCCACAGCCTTCATTGTGTAATGTAGTTTTATTTAATGTATACTACATCCCTGCTAAAACAGCTCTTATCTGTGAATATATCACACACTGGCTCACAGTGTTTTTTTCTTTCTGAATAAATTGGTTAACTCTTTTAAGTGTTTTGTTGTTTTGTCCGGTTTTAGCCAAGATTTGCATACTCTTCTGATCTGAACATATCTCTATTTTGACCTAATGCAATGGTTCTCACATTTTTTTTCTTTTATAGCCCTATTAAAGGCAGTGTGTTTACTCATACTCAAATAACCGGAAACAACAGTAACAAAATTGAAAAATTGCAGTTAAAATAACACAACTCCGTCATCATAACACATGTTATGAAAATCAAATTAGAGCCGAATTTGAATCCAACAGCAATAAAGTTAAACACATCTGCAACTGGATCCTGGGATCTCCAGGGGCAGAGAGAGAAAGAAAGAGACAGTCAGATCGTTCAAACCTCCACAGAACCCTTAAAAGTCTCTAAAGGTTGATTAGCAGATAAATGTGTTTGTTTTCACTTTGTTTATGTGATGTGCCTGCTTCTCGATCTAAATCTGACTCACCATTAAAAAAACATTGTAATCTTAAGAAGGGGAATTTGAATTGTGTCTGAGGACAAGAGAGAGAGAACTTTGGTATAGAGGCATAGAGTAACAATAACAGAGTGAGCGCAGGTATTATGCAAAGAAGCACAGTCCTGCAGAGATTTGCATCATCTGTCCCCCGACGTCAAACCTGTTATTTAGGTATACATTTCTAATGCTCATAAAACCAGTTTCCCTGTCCCTGTCTAAGTATGAGCAAAAATGTTTTAAATAAACTGCACCTATAAGAATTACATCAACCAAAAATATTACAGCTCTGTGCGTGAGCATGTGCGTCGCTGTAGCAGGTCTTACGGTTTAGAGTTACAGCACCTTGGGCAGCACTGTTTTATTCCTGAACCTTTAACAGGCTTCTGTTAAAAATAAGAAGTATGGAAAGAAAAACATTAGATAAACTACATTATTCAACACGAGGATCGTGTACCAGTTCTTTTATCACAAGGGTTTTTTTGAAAAATAATCATGAATGAATGCAACAGAAACATGTACTTACACTGCAAGGACTGATCTAATTATAATTTTACAGTTTTTTTTTTTAAATAAGTTTATTTGCTCTTACTTTGAGCATGATAATAGAATGTTCTGTCAATGGAATACTTTTCTTCCACCCTTTAAAAAAGAAATATTATGCTCTTGAAATAAGATAATGGCATCTATTCTACTTCTTTCAAATGTTCATCTTATTCGAATGTCAACGTTTCTTCTTTAGATGCTTAAATCAAGAAAAAATACCCTTATTTAAAGAAAAAAGAAATACCTATTAAGATTTAAATTTTTGCAGTGTAAATAGTTGAGCTTCATCACTTCATTTGTGCTGTTCTGCATACCTTCCATTGCATTTTTTAGGTTAATTCTTTTCAAAGGATATATTATCATTGAGGCATGGAAGCAGCTGAGTTTTTAAAATGTGAGTAGTTTTGATTGTAGAAAAATAAGGAACTAGGGCTTAACTCAGAATGGATGAAGGAGAAAAAAATACTCTTTGTTCCACTTCCTCTTTGTTCCTCTTTTCCCAGTTACACAGTCTGAGTCGATTATGTTTTTTAATCCATCTCTGTTGAGCGTGTCCAAAAAGTATTAGGAGACGATTCTTACCCAAGTTTCTGAGTCAGTGGGTTATAGAGAGTGTACATAGCGGAAAATCAACATTAAGGTCTAAAAACTTAACTTCAGCTTTTCGTCCCCATTTTTACTTTCTATTCTGTTATCTCATATATAAAAAAGACCTACTCTAAACCCAGCAAATAACGACTTAGTAAAAAAAATCTTCTTTGTCTGCATTCTGAAAAATGTAAAAGCAAGGTTCGCTCAATGCTTGAACTATACCTATTTTTAAGTTGTGCAAAATGTTCTATTATGAGATCAGTTTTAGTTTAAAAAACTCAAAAATGCATGCTGGTTGTGTGGAAATTCCAAGTACTCACCTGTGGACATAGGCTGTCAATTTGGGTGGCTGCCATCCGTACTAACTTCACACCTTCTTCGTTGTTGGAGATGGAGCAAGCTAAATTAGCCACCTGAATAAAGGAAGCAAAACAAGGCACGATTACTCTTGAATGTAACTGTAAACATCTGTTTTTCTGGAGTATAAAATAAGCTTAAAATTACATCTGGAAAATAAATGATAAGTATTTGTAAACCAAAAATAAATACATAAAACCCAGTTATAATTTAAACAGTCGGTCTTAGGGAACGATACACCTGTCAGGAGCCTTTTTAACTAATATACCAATGAGCAGTATATAAAAAGAGCCCTCCCAAAGAAACAGCTTTCATTAAGAAACTTCTAATGTCACCAATTGTGTCAGATGAGACAGGATCGAATTGTAATGCTGTTCAAAAGACTTACTAGTGAGCCTTTACAAGATTATCTTGACAGAGAACAGTAAAGCTCTGTGCTGACTGCTAGCTTTAAGATTTTATTCAGAGGGAATTAGTTGATTGCTGTTAAGGAAAATATAAATTCTAGCCCGAAGCTAAGGTTTTCTTGACTAAGGAGCTTAAGAGTACTAACTCAACAGACATCAGTTAAAGCAATATTGAAGTAAAAGTAGCATGAAGACTAAAGAGAACTAAAAATGACTATCCAACTAAATCGACACATTTGAGAACACAGTTATGAGAATGAGGGCCATGTTCAAAAGCTGAACAGGTTGATCTCTAGTATAGTGGTGAGTATCCCTGCCTGTCATGCTAGAGACCAGGGTTTGATTCCCTGAAAGGGAGGGTGAATATTGGGGAGTGGCTGCCTAGTGGTTTAGGGCATTGCACAGGGCTTCCAGAGGTTCTGAGTTCAAGCCCCACTCCCACAGACTGTCAGTCTGGCTCGCTGAGCATGACCCTTAACCCCAGGCGCTGCACAATGCCAGCCTATTGCCCCCCAAATGTCATGGGTTAAATGTACAGAAGTAATTTTGTTGCTCTGTACTGGTGACAGTGTAATGACAATAAAAATAAAAAGCTGAACAAAACAAATTCAATTTCAGCTCTTAGCAATACTACTATCTTAGAAACTTGATATGCAAAGTCAGCATAGTCACCAAAGTCACATGCCCCAAACAATCTTATGAAACGTTAAGAGACAGTTTTCAGGGGTTGCTTGATTTGTGAATCATGAGCTTCACTGTGCCCCTCATGTCTCAGCCTTTTTTATTTTTACAAGCATATTTTCATGTAGTTTTTAAATAAATGCAGGGACATTGTGTTGAACCCTCTATGTCACTGATGTTCGAGATAGAATTGTGAGATATTGAGCAGTGTGGATCCTTCTGTTGCAGAGAAATAATTTGATCCATCTGTATCCAAAATCATAGCTTTCCAAGTAACAAGAACAGTAAAAACAGAATTAATTAAGATAATGTTTTCAGCTCTAATGTTCATCTAGCAAGCCTAAATCATTGAAAGGGTTTGGCAGCTCATATATGGAACCTAATTTCATAATTAAGGTGCCAAGTTGTTTTTATGAATTAAAACTATCTTGCTCTCTTTTTCAAAGTACATTTCCTGATAAGATGTTTCAAATCAGACTCCTTAAAAATTTATGTAGCAGCTTATCTGAGCCGATTGTTAAATTCATTTTTGGCGCGTGAACTAAATACATTAATTAACAGTTGGATTGCACAAAACTAATTAAATGTGCTGCAAAGAATTTTAAGACTTTGTAAATTGACCCTGAATGCAACATACCATAAAGAGCTGGTTGAGTAATTTTACAAAGGCAAAAACATCAGAGGTGTAAAACAGAGTTTTTCAAATCACTACATCTAAACCATACCCTTTAATGACGGAAACAAACACAGATACAGGCAAAGCTAGTGTCCTTCATGAAGTTATCAGTTTTCTCTACACAGTTACTGCATCTCATGCCTAATTTAAATAATTTCAAAACGCCAATCCCATTCCCAAACAGATCAGATTCCAGCTTGAACCTTTGGGCTATGAGACAGAACTGAGCAGACGTGTGCCTGTTGGCAGCGAAAGGTGCCAGTCTGCATTAGCACTTCTAGTGCTCTTGTCACTGTTTGCAAGAAAGTGAGGTAAATCAAATTTGTTTTAGAGGACTCTTGCTTAGAGCTCTGTCTCTTTACCCGTGACAGCAATGAGCACATTGATGGATTACAGTCCTTTATGTGAAGCTGTGTGTGTTTAAACTGGTGCCAGTGAGAGAGTGGAAGTGTGCGATTGTGAGCTGACGCCCCACAAATGTGAGTGACCGATTGCAGTGAACCATAGAAAGCATATTTTTCAACTTTAATTCAGTCTGTGATATTATTAAAGACCAATGAGGTGATTTTGTAATTCTTTAAAGGCATTTAAATATTTTTTTCCAATAATTCACCTCATCTTCACCTAACATATTGGAAATTAATCATAAAATGAAGTAGATAAGTGAAGTTATTATCTACAAAAGAAATGCTGGAGAACATTTTCCCCTAGAGATTTTCTTGGTGTATTTAGGAAAAAATATTTTTTCAAGGTTCTCATACAAACTCATATTTTCTGGAAAATTGTGCTTACTGTATGTACACTTTTCTTGTGTTTCTGTTAGAAGAAAAGTTTTGAAAAATAAAAGAAAAAGACACAATTTTTATAAAGCAATTTTTTATATAATTTCCATCTAATCCTGGCTCTAATCAAGATACAATTGCTCTTTTTAACCTGGAGAAATCACCTCTTTTTTGACTTCACCCACTTACATCCTTTTGTAACTGCAGCTCATCTCGCACCCCCCAACCCCCACCCCCCCACCCCCACCAGACTGCTGCAGTGTCTCAGGAGGCGAAAGGGGCAGAGGTCTCTCCGGATGTTGGAACCATGCCCAACAGGCCCCCTCCCACTCGCTCTTACCTAACACAAAGTGCAAGGCTGGGGCCAGAGGAACAAAATCCAGCCCAAACTGCTAATTGCAATCATCTAAGGAAGCACTTTTCCTTTGGGTGTTAATTTCTTTTTTCTGACAGAGGTGCAAAAAACCAAGACAGAGGGTCTGAGAATGCACCGTGCAAGCCTAATGCTGATATGGTCAAAGATACTGGAGCAGAATAAGGAATTCAAAGAGGCAGATGGATGAGGCTGTGTGTGTATCTGTGTGAGTGTGAGAAACGGAGGAACAGAGAGAGATCCCTGCTGAATGGCCATTCTTCATTTTAGCCTAGAACAAAGAACTATCGATTCTGTCCTTTAGCTCTGCCGTGGATAATCACTTCAATTCTAATTTGATGAAGGTTTCCATGGCACTTGGAGAGATGGGTACTCTCATGTTAGCCATTTAAATCTCTGAAATTGATCTGAGTAACTGGAAGATGCTCAGACAGTGTTGGCTTTTATTCGTTTCTCTAGCTGGGGTGTGACTACATTGGACTTCTTATGCAACGTCTGGAAGCAAAGAAATTGATAACACGTTGAAGTAGTTTGTCTTCTTTTTTCCTAAGAACTAACTATCGACTCATCTCAATGTATTCAGCTTAAAGACAATTAGCCTGTGGTTCTGCGACAGCGTAAGGCTCAGGCTGTTTTGATAGCTTACTTGGGGTTATTTACATTGTTCGTTCTAGTATCTCTCATATTCCTCTTAAAACACTTCATAAATTCTCTAAGGAGTTTGGATCAGGTAATTGTGCCGACCAATCTACCACACAAATTCTATGTCCATCAAACAAGTCTGTATCACTTTTGCACCTGTTTATAAGTTGTACTACAAGATATAGTATGTTTGCACAATCAATTTAGTGTTCCTTATTTGGGATCTTAGTAGATAAGGCCCTAAGTGTTGTTTATCCATAAAAAAAGGTTTCAATTTTTTTAAATTAGGATGAAATTTACTAAACATTTTTACTGTATTCAATTTTGTTCAGATACACCTACATTTATCAATATATTCTCTTTAATTACAGCATCTAAAGATCTAAATTTAAAACCTATTTATGCTGACAATCCAGATAAAGGCAAAACTTAAAAATTGTTTTCAGTCATGAGAATAATAAATACAGTCCAACTACTGTATGTTTAAATCAATGTCAGGAGAAATCTATTTGTTTTGTGTCAAGACCTCAGTGGTTATGATAAAGATTCAGAAGCCCAAGGAACCCCACAATAAGATTGGGTTTAAAGTTTAGGTTAAAAGATACTTTGCAACATCTCATACTTTGTTAAATCAATAGTTTGATATGCTAGAAATACAAATTCACAAAACCTAGATGTCAACCTATGCTCACAGGTGGAGCAAAGAAGCATTAATCAGAGAAGCAGCCAAGATGACCTTGGTAATACTGGATCAGCTGCAGTGATCCACATGTCAGGTAGCTGGATTTGTCAACAGAACAAACAATCTTTAAATGATGAATAACCTGTGCTTATATAGCGCCTCAAGTCAGGGGAATCAAAATGCCTTACACTACAGTAATTCAGACATTCATGTTCACATTCGCACACTGATGGTGGTAGGCTACACTTGAGTACAGCTGCCCTGAGGAAGACAGACAGAAATTAGGCTGGTGCAATGGGGTTCTCTGACCACCATCAGTGGGCAATGCTGTTGAAGTGTCTTGCCCAAGAATACAATGACCGACACAGAAGAGGCTGGGGATCAAACAGGCACCCCTCCAGCTGCAAGACATACTTCTGCCTCCACTGGGGCTTGATAAGAGACACAAAACATGCTAAAGCCAAAGGAGATCTATGACTAGTCATTTTTGCAATTTTCCACAAGCCATTAAGGCATTACAAAGAAAATGTGAAAGAATGCACTCTGGTCAGAACAGACCACAAACAAACGTTTCTGACCTACAAAACTTTGCCAAGTTGAAAACAAGCATTGCTCAAGACATCGTCTCACATCACACTGTAGTGGCAGCATCATGCAAAGGGGATGTATATTCTTGGTAAATGGTAAATGGCATGTACTTATATAGCGCCTTTTTTCAAGTTAGGAGACTTGACCAAAGTGCTTTACACTACATTCATTCACCCATTCACGCACACACTCACACACTGATGGTGGCAAGCTACATTGTAGACA